AATATTGATCTAACAAAGCGTTTCTGCAAATGACATAAAACCTGTTCAAAGATTAAAAACCCATAACCTTTGACCTGTATTTCTATTTCGGAGGAATCATGATCGAGCTGGTACAAAAGATATAGGTTAATACTAATACACCGGGCACCAGTTCGACTTATTACACCCTAAAATACCACGCGAACAGATTATCCGTTACATACACCTACAAGAAAGAGATTATATATGCATATAGATATTCTGAATTTCGTTTTACGATTTATCATTAAAATACTTTCATCGGGTCAAAACTTAGCAGTGACGATTATTATCTTTAATATGTGTCATCGGTACAGGTTCTTCGCTGAAAACAATATAAAACTGATTTGTATGTATTGTAACCATAGAGGATGCCATGGATTAATGTCCTAGGCTCACAAATATTCTCCTCCTGCATCGTACAATATTACAGGTGCTCAGTTACAATGCATTTTCTTGTCAATCACATCAGATGTAAGGATGTTCAGTCGTATTTTGGTAACTTTCCTTCTCTTTGGAATTGCACAAGGTAAGAAATGAGAAACAAAAGTTTGCTAGCCTTGATTCTCTTTGGAATTGCACAAGGTCAGAAATGTAAAACAATAGATAGCTAGCTTTGCTTCTTTTTTGGATTTCCACAAGGTAAGAAATGGGAATCAATTTCTAACCTTTTTTACATCAATTCATCATAACTTGCTTTTTTTTTTATTGATATTTGACAATACTTTATCCGAGTTAAAATGAATTGAATTAATAAGGATGATGACTTTTTAAGATTAAACTTTCAAAACACTGAATTGAAATAATATGAGAATTCCCAATTTCGGAAACAAAGGTATTGTAATACGAGTATCCTACACAATTCTAATGAAATGAAGTGTCATATAACTAACTAACTATCTAAATTATTCATTATAGTAACATGTGTTTTTCACAAAATAGTATATATATTACAGTGAAATATAAACACAATAATTAGAACACCCGACCCTTTGGATCTATAAGTCACTTTAAACATTAATTTCAATGGTACGACGAACAAAATAAATCAATTTTATCGAAAATTTTCATATAAAAAGTTTGTTTCTCTTACTGAAAGCTTGCAATAGATATTTAGCAGTTTTTCTCGGATGTTGACATAGTAAATATTTAAACTGTTCATCTTTTGATAGAACATATAAATTTCAATGTGTGAGAAATGTTGAACTCGTAGATTGGTGTAAACAATACAGTTTATGAGGAGATGGAATTCGTTTTCCACATAGCTATCATTACACGTTTTACACAATCGGTGATCTTGCTGTAATATATGTAATCATTCTAGAATAATTGACCAGGTAGACAAGGTTAAAATGGTAATCCAGAGGAACTTAAGTTTAATTGGACAGTATTAAAGCAGTAGTAGACTATACGGTATGGGTGTTACTCATTGTTGAAGGCCGTACGGTGACCTTTAGTTGTTAATTTCTATGTCATTTGGTCTCTTGTGGAGAGTTGTCTCATTGGCAATCATACCACATCTTCATATTTTTATATGGTCTTCAGTTGATAATAAATGAGGACGGTTCAAAATTTTCTTTGTTGCCTGACGTAATGGTTATTTAGGTTCGTTTATTTTTTCCTAGAACTTTTTATTTTTTACATTATCGCGAGTTATTAGGTAGATAAGAGATAATAAAAAGACAAGTTTTATAATTCCGAAAAAAGGAGATGTTGGTCTAACGTCAATAAGACAGCAATTACAAAAATAAAAACATTTAGAGGACAACGTCACTCTGCATGGTAGCGTACCCGGTAAGTAAGAGTTCTCTGTTGGCTATGCTCATTTTTCGTTATTAAACATTATATAGTATCTTTTGGCTAAAGAATAGGAGATGTTAGATATAGGAAGATGTGGTATGAGTGCCAATGAGACAACTCTCCATCCAAGTTACAACTTATAAAAGTAAACCATTATAGGTCAAGGTACGGCCTTCAACACGGAGCATTGGCTCACACCGAACAGCAAGCTATAAAGGGCCCCAAAAAATTATTAATAGTGTAAAACCATTCAAACGGAAAAACCAACGGTCTAATCTATATAAAAACGAGAAACGAGAAACACGTATGAACTACATAAACAGACGACAACTACTGTAATCAGATTCCTGACTTAGGACAGGTGCAAACATTTGCAGCGGGATTAAACGTTTTAATGGTACCAAACCTTCTCCCTTTTCTGAAACAATAGTATAACATCACAACATAGAAAAACACACTATAAAATATCAATTGGAAGGCTTAACTCAATCAAAAAACGTAAATTAACACACAATGAACGAATAAATTTGACCTGTGACACCTGAATGCAAATACACAGTTAATAAAAAATAACAAGGGATAAATAATTAAAGTCAAAAGTAAATAAACAGGTTTAAACAAAGTTAAAGTATGATGTCACTGTGAAATGTCAAACAATTTTTAGAAAATGATTGTCAATGAAACACCTATCCATCAAAGACCAAAAGACAAAGATGTTAATCACCAACAGGTTACCGCCTTTTTCAATGGTGAAAACTAATACCGTATACTGAGTAAAGATAAATACATACATGCGATACAACAATATACATTGTATTCTTTAAATGTGATTTTGGATATGATTTTTACGTAAGGGAATGAAATTTGTCTTTCTTAAACTTAAAGTAAATTTTTTTCTAGAGGGACGAAGTAAAAACATCAAAAGAGAGTTATTTATAGGAAGTGTCTGCAAAAAAAACATAGAAACTCTCTATATGTTATTTTGCATGTTTTTGTCGGTTGTGCTTTTTTAGTATTGTTTTCGGTTTATTTCACCGGGTTTGTACTTACATAAGCAACACGACGGGTGGCACATATGGAACAGGAACTGCTTACCCTACCGTGGCACCTAAGATCGCTTCCGGTTTTTGGTGGGGTTCATATTGTTCAGTCTTTAGTTTTCTATGTGGTGTTTTGTATACTAGTGCTTGTCTTTCGGTCGTTTTTCGGTTTTTTTTTGCCATTACATTGTCAATTTTTGGACTTATGAGATTGAATGTCCCTTGGTATCTTTCGCTTCTCTTTTTGTTTCGGATTTTCAATATTTATCGAGCATCACTGACCATACAAAAAATCGAAATGCGCATATGCTGCATCCAACTTCCGAAGCAAGGTCATCCGCTCTCCGATCTATCCCGAAGGCATACGTTTAACTATTGATTGCCGAGTTTTTGAGCTTCGGTCCTTGCTTGGAAGTTGATGCTGCAACAAGTCTTTTTGGTATCTCATCCCTTTTTTTGAGGTGGTTTGTGTCACTCAATCTTGGTGGTGTTTTGTGGACTATGTTTTTTGTATTTTCGTTAATTTTCTTTTGGTCGTAGTGTTGTTTGTTTTACTTCGATTCCTTTCACATGTGTTTGATGTTCTCCCAGATCCTTTCCATCCTGGTTTGAAGTTGCGTTTGTAGATTCATTGTATCTATTTGTAAGTTTTCGACTCCTTGTCTAATATTCACAAAGTTGGATAATACACTAATACGATTAAAACAATTTATTTATTACATTATTAGTAAAGGAGTTTTGAATAATTCATATATTCTTTATCTTTTCAGCGATTGATTGTGGTGGTAAAAATACAGGCCATGGTCCTTTTAAAGGCAAACAATTACTTGATGGCAAATTAAAAGGCAAGTTTAACCTTTAAGTTATTTGATCGGTTTTTAGCTCACTTGGCCCGTATACTATTGTCATCCCTTTGCGTCCGTCTACCGTTCGATTGTCCGACCATTCGTCGTTTTTGGTCAATTTTAACCAAACTTGGCAGGAATATTGTATGTCATAATGTGAAACCAGTACATTATCGGGTTAAAGTTTTTGGTTAAAGTATAGTTAAGAATGAAGTTGTAGTCAGATCAACTTGAAACTTAGTACACACGTTCATTATGGTGTGTTCTATATTTAACCATATCAAAATTACAGTTCCCCCGATTGCATGGGTTACTGAACTAGGAAAATGATAGTGCAAGCTCAGCAAGCTGTCCTTATGACACATAATATTCTTGTTATTTTTACTTTAATCATTCTTCTGGTGCTGCCTCGTGTACATAACCAATGTCATAGTTTGTATGTTAAATATAAGGAGGCTTTTCTTTAAGAAACGTAAGAAAAAAACCAGAAGACTAATGTTGCTTCATGGTCAGAAGAAAACGCCAAAAAAGAGCATACATGGTTCTTTAGAAAAAGAACAGCAACTACGGACTAAAATTTATAAAGATTAGATAGTCCCTGTTCATTAGTGACATTCGTCTTGCAACTTGTGTTAGAATTTTAGACACGTTATATTTGACGATGAAATAGAAAAGAAAGGATAACGGGTAACCATCCATGACACAAAATCAGTATGTGTACACCCAAAAACACAAAAAATGCCTTCAACACGGAGCAAAAATAACCCAAAAACACTCACCTCATTGCAAGTTTAAAACGGACCCTAGCACCGGTTTGAGCGGAATTCTTTGCAAACTGACGATCAAGCATTACATATGCGACGGGATTGCTTCCCTTGAGTAGTAGATACTTACCCAGTTGTAAGCGGTTGATCTATGGAAGTACATCTTTAGCTCAGTCGGTTATAGTGCTGACTTCGAACACAGATGTCCCGGGAGAGACAATGTGATTTTATAATAAGAATCATGCTCTCAGGTTACACATAAAAGCAATTGCATGTATGTAGACGCCTAATGACTCAAACGATTATGCCAAAATACATGTACATGTAGTATATACATAAACATACCAATAAACTGATCATAGATACCAGGTTTAAAATTTTATACGCCAGACGCACGTTTCGTCTTCAAAGGACTCATCATTGACTGTCGAATAAAAACAGCTAAAAAGGCCAAATTAATAACGAAGTTGAAGAACAAATGTACACAGGAAATGTTATATATCTGTATATTGTTTTTAGGTTTTGGAATTATTGCTACATCGAGACCTTTTAGATTCGGTTGTTGTGGTACCATAAAAAGATGGCGAGCTGTAACAAAAGGCCCCGGAGAAGTAATATTTCAAGTATGGAGACATTCCGACAAGAGAAATCATTACATATTGATTGGACAGAACGTTGTTAAGTGTAAGCATCAACATTTAACTTTATACTTATTTCACTGCACATGAAACTAGAAAGTGTAATAAGATCTGCCAGTATATATTTATACCGTTTCGATTCCTAACATCACTGAAGAGACATTAATTGTCGAAATCCGGATATGGTGTACTAATTTTTGCACCTTTTGTTTGCGGTATACCATCTTTTCCGCAAGTTTATTGTTTTCTGTTTGGTATTAAATTAATAGTTAAGATCCATTTTGTTACATCTGGTGATCCATTTATTTGGCAATCGCCAATGGCAGTCAACAGGGTTTAAGAACATCCGTTGTTCGACCTGCTAGTCAAATGCGTTTTGTTAAAATATACTTTTTCACTTTTTTGGTCTTTTGTAAAATTTTGTTTGTGCTGTATTTAGACCCCTCTACCAAGAAATTTGTTTTGCATGCACACGTATAAAAATTGCGGTTTGTTGTTTTCAACGTTCAAACCTATGATTGCGTTGGATAAAAACCGCAATTTTTATACGTGTGCATGCAAAACAAATTTCTTGGTAGAGGGGTCTAAATACAGCACAAAGTTACAAACAACAATTTCCAAAAGACCAAATGAGTGAAAAAGTATATTTTAACAAAACGCATTTGACTAGCAGGTTTGAACGTTGTTTTCAATTTAGACTTGTTTATATTATATATATATATAAACAAGTCTAAATTGAAAACAACGTTCAAACCTATGATTGCGTTGGATAAAAACCGCAATTTTTATACGTGTGCATGTATATAAACAAGTCTAAATTGAAAACAACGTTCAAACCTATGATTGCGTTGGATAAAAACCGCAATTTTTATACGTGTGCATGTAAACAGGTCTAAATTGAAAAAACGTTCAAACCTATGATTGCGTTGGATAAAAACCGCAATTTTTATACGTGTGCATGCAAAACAAATTTCTTGGTAGAGGGGTCTAAATACAGCACAAAGTTACAAACAACATTTTCCAAAAGACCAAATGAGTGAAAAAGTATATTTTAACAAAACGCATTTGACTAGCAGGTCGAACAACTGATGTTCTTAAACCCTGCTGACTGCCACTGCCGATTGCCAAATAAACAGATCACAAGATGTAACAAAATAGATCTTACTATTAATTTATTACCAAACAGAAAACAATAAACTTGCGGAAAAGATGGTATACCGCAAACATGAGGTGCAAAAATTTGTACACCATATCCGGATTTCGACAATTAATGTCTCTTCAGTGATGTTAGGAATCGAAACGGTATATATATATATATAGCATCTTACTATTATATGGTTAACACACTGCGGAGCACATTTTGTATACGATTGTCGTAGATAACTCTAATTTGCCTAATGACCTAGTAAAAGTTTTAAGTAATTTGTGGTAACGAAATCCCTGTCTTAATAATTTACCAGTAAGAAGCCTTCGTTAAAAGTTCCGTTTTGATTTCAATGATTGTCGTGAGACTCATTAATGGCGTCGAATCAACCAATTGTTTTAACAATTGTCCTGATTTTCGTTTTGGACTTCAGATATACTTTATATAATAGCATTGTTATTTATAATATAAGTCAGTATGAAATTGGCAATATTTTGAAAAAACATTCATAGATGTTTCCATTTTAGAAAAGAAATAAAAAATGAAAATGTTCTTAAATGTAGTTTTCCGAATTTTGAAACTACTTTGGAGTTAACTGCATTTGTAATTGTTTGTGTTGTTGGTCTTTTCCCAATTAAACTGTTACTGTTGAACAAAAACCAGAATAAGTATATATTGTTTTGATAAGCAGCATATACTTTTACATCTATTTAGTAGTTATTTCACAGTCGTTCTATCCTAATTTTTTTAATCGGGTCATATATTATTTTGTGTTTTATTTATTGCAGTCGATAAGGCAGGAGATACAGTCATAGACATACCACAAAGTCAAAGAATTTCCGTTGACAAGGGTGACTACATAGGATGGTAGGCATGAAATTTCTTTTAAGTCTCAGTAACGGTTACAATGTACTCGTATATTTTACTGTTAAACAACAAATGTACGATTGTAGTAACTTTTTGTGGATTCATGAAACTAAATCGGTACATATTTTCGAAGTTTAACATCCATATCAGACAAGAAAAACTTACAGTGTTTGAAGCGCGATTCTTGATTAAGCTTCATCACGAACTCAAACTATGTTTAAATACATAGTAGGGAATCGGGGGAAATTTAGAAGCATACGTTACTTGTAAAGAATAGACTGTTTAGAAAGCTACACCTGAAGGAGTGGGGCCTTTGTACATAACAAAAAGGCGAGCTTAATCAACTGAAATCTTACCAAAATATGTTTGAGTAATAATGAAAATTGTCAAAGTGCACTGACTACTTGGCGGGCGATGGCTTATATATCTGTCTACCAACGTGGCAGTAAATTAATCAAACATTTCTACTCCCAACAACAAAAAGATAAGTATAATACGATTACCGTGCAAACGCACGTGTTTCTGAAGTAACATTCAGATTCACTCGAGACCATTCATCAGATATGCACGAGACCACGCACGTGTTTCTGAAATAACCTTCATCAGATATGCACGAGACAACGCACGTGTTTCTGAAATAACCTTCATCAGATATGTACCAGACCACGCACGTGTTTCTGAAATAACCTTCATAAGATATGCACGAGACAACGCACGTGTTTCTGAAATTACCCGAAGTTCATCAGATATGCACGACACCACACATTTGTTTCTGAAATAACCTTCATCAGATATGCACAAGACCACGAACGTGTTTCTGAAATAACCTTCATCAGATATGCACAAGACCACGAACGTGTTTCTGAAATAACCTTCATCAGATATGCACGAGACCACGCACGTGTTTCTGAAATAACCTTCATCAGATATGCACGAGACCACGCACGTGTTTTTGAAATAACCTTCATCAGATATGCACGAGACAACGCATGTGTTTCTGAAATAACCTTTATCAGATATATGCACGAGACAACGCACGTGTTTCTGAAATAAACTTATTCAAATACTTTCGAGACAAAAAGTTTTGAAAGGCAAAAATATAAAACGCGGATCATAAAAACAAAAACTGCCTACATAAAACGGCCAAAACCGGCTAAGGTCAACTTTGCCTGAGGGAGTTTAAATCTTAGCTTTGATGCAATTACATTATTTTATGAACTGGACATTCACAGACAAAATGAATTATTTGAATCAGGTCGATACCGAAGCACTAGTTAATAGACGGGATGTGCCTGGTAAACTTTAAGAGGCCACATAAAAACTCGATAAAGAATAGTCAAAACGTATATCCAAGGCCAATTTAACCTAAGAGAACTAGTTTTCCGCAAACAATGCTTGAACAACAATATGTATGAGATCAGAGCAGTAAAACAGATAATTCAGAATCATCTTATCATTTAAGAAGACGTCTGATACCTATGCCTATGCGCACAAAAAACGCGCGCGCAAAACGTGTTTCTGAAATAACATTCAGTACGACCGCTTAAAACTTTACGTTACATAAGCGAAAAATTACTCATTTTTATATATACGAATGCAGTGAACATTACAAAACAATTATGTATCTTGAATTTTGGCATTATCATGCATTGAATAGGAGTAACCTCAGTAAAAACAAAAACTCTTATGTGAAATTGTATTTGTAAGGTCTGAATAAAAATTCATGAAAGATATCGGACTTGTAATTTAGCAAGTCAGTCGCGCGTTTCGTCAACATTAGACGCTAAAATCAAAACAAATGGAAGGCCAACTTTATTACAAAGTTGAAGAGCATTGAAAGCCAAAAAAGGCTATGGTACTTTAACAAACATAGGATTTTTGTAAAAAGAAAGATAACTCTATTGCTATTTTTCAACAAAGTTGTATAAGGAACGTTCAGTTGATACCTATCCTTAAATGAACTGTTGGAAATAAACTCATCATAGATACCACGATTAAAATTTTATACGCCAGACGCGCCTTTCGTCTACAAAAGACTCACCAGCGACGCTCAAATCAGAAAAGTTTAAAAGGCCAAATAAAGTACGAAGTTGAAGAGCATTGAGGACCCAAAATTCCGGAAGGTTTTGCAAAATACAGCTAAGGTAATCTATTCCTTGGGTAGAACATCCTTAGTATTTTGATTTTTCTCTGTAAGCATATGAAGCATATAATGCCGATACTACTTCTGGATGTTACACGACTCTGTCATTTATTCCTTTGTGTAAACTTTTTTTTAAGTACAGAGTAATTCTAATCTACTTTTATATTGTATATTAAATGTTTTCTTTCATCAAAATTCCATTCAATAAATCAGCAAGAGAAAAAAAAAGCAACAACAACATAAAAGAAGGAAATAAACATTATGATTAAGGAAGTACGGGAGTATAAACAAAATAATGACGAAATGTTTTAAAATTTGTCAAAATATAGTATTACACACGTGCTATTTTAAGATTTATAATAAAAAGCATAGATCGCCGCGCCTGTTTTCAAAGCTTAAGACTGTTTAAAAGTCTATTGTTTTGTAATGATAACACACGGGTAGATCTGATTTTTTTTTTAGAAAATAAAAAATAAATATGGGAACTCCGTCCCTACTTTTTTAGTAGCACAATAGATACATTTACGGTGAATCCTTTTTTTTTCTTTCTTTTAAATTGATAGTCCCAAGAAAGAATTGCGTTTCGGCTCCAAAATTTGCTAATTTCGGTAAAACTCTGAACTGATCATGTGATGATGAAGGATTCCCACACTACCCTAATATAGTTGCAGATTTCAAATTAATCTTCAACTGTCACGAGTCGTGAAAAAAGGAAATGTTCTCTGAACATCCCAATCATAGAACCTTGATGAACTTACATAACAGGTTTAATTTCACCAATGTCTTTATTTATACACACACTTGTATAATATATCTAATGTTTAGGTATACAGTAACAGAAGCTTTCATTGTGCATGAAGAAAATGTAGGCAGTAAAGATCACCATATAATAGAAAATATGCCAGTTCCATCTGAAGGACAAGATGTTGACTGGTCTAAAAATAAAGTCAAAGAAAAAAGGATATACGCAGTTGAAGCAATAGGAGAAGACAGTATGTAAATGTTACTATTTCTACTACTTTAAACGAAAATTAAATGGCTTCTCTGATTTACAAGGGTCTGGATGAGGTCTATATTTCTGTATTATTTAATATTTATAGCCTTTTTTCTCTATCCCCCCCCCCCCACTTATTCTCTTTTCTTTTCTGAAAACCCCGCCAATACCCTCATTTATGGATATTTTCCTTTTTGTGTCGACATTTCTGTCTAAGGTTTACCCGCGAAAATTGTAAAATGTTGGAGAACGATACTTTCAACTAATAAGAACTGATCAAACGTCTAAAAATTTTATATAACTGAATTTACTTTGTTATGTTTCGTATGTAAAAGCGTAAATTCAAAGAATTGTTAAAAATATTGCGGTTCAGCGGTTTGTCAAATCTCCTCATGTATTCAAGTACTTATACATCAATGAGGGTCCGGATGGAGGTCCTTCAATTCTGCAGTCTTTTATTTTGTAAGCTATTTTTCTCTATTCTTTATAAATTTTGCCCATTATTCTCTATTCTTTATATTTTAGAACCCCATTATTCTCTATTTTTTTTTTTTTTGCCTGTTTTTCTCTTTTCTTTATATTTTTTGCGCTTTATTCTGCACGTTTTGTCCATTATTCTATATTCTGTACACCCCATCCAGACCTTCATCGTTATAAAATGTTATTTACCTTTTCTTATAGAACTCCTTGCTTTTACTTTTATATTTAATAAAGGTTCGCCACCAAGTTTTAAGAATTTACCATTCACTAAAGTCATTACAAAAGCTGCAGTTGATAGTATGACTGACAAAATGGATGTTTACAACGTAGAAGCGATTGATCCTGACAGGCATGACGTTCCTGGATTGTTGGTTCATTTAGAAGCAGTTAATGCATACTTTCAAATAAGAAAAAATACAAGTAAGTACAAGAAGTAAGCACAATTTCCTTTCATTTTATCAATTAGCAATACCATATTTTTCAAAAGTCTTTCAATCTTGAAAAAAATAAACAGTTTAACAGATCCCAGCGTTTATTGTATTTTTCTGGCAACATAATGCCATATTTATGAACATTTTAACCAACTTATAAATGTCAAAATATAATTGCACAAGAGTTTTCTATCTAAAAGAAATATAGAAAAACCTTTCCAATCAAAACATACAAAATTATCATGTATAATATTATCATAATTATAAAAATAAGAAGATGTGGTATGATTACCAATGATACAACTCTCCACTAGAAACCAAAATGACGTAAAATTTAACAACTTTAGGTCACCGTACAGCCTTCAACAATGAGCCAAACCCATAGCAAGCTATAAAAGGCCCTGAAATGACAAATGTAAAACCATTCAAACGAAAAAATAACGACCTGAGTATGTATTGTTTCAAATGTAATTCTTTTTTCTGAATATAAATTTGCTTAAATATTGAAAAAAATATTTAGATTATAATGGAATATCTACTTTTATTTCACAAACTTTAATCAAATTTCCGATATCTAAGCTATGAGTGAAGTAAATATAGGGGGAACTGGTAACACCCATTCAGCACACCCCAGCAGATTATATACATCTAACAACTATGATGTATGGTGTAAGGTACCTGAATCTGCCGGGGTTTGCGAAATATGGCAATATCGAATCAACATAAACCCGAGTGAAATATTGATACTAAATAACTTCACTATTAAAAATCAACAGAATGTAATTTTTAAATGTACCCATTATAAAAAATTCGGCAGAAGTTTCCAGTTTCCTCTTTTTTCTTTAATTTTTTTTTGTGGGGGGAGTGGGGTAATATGCGTTTCGTTCGAATGCATTTATAAACAAGATTCAAAATATGTTTCTTTATCATAAAGTGGACGTGTAAATACACTCAGAGTCTATTTAGGATCTTATCACGTCCAACAAGATAAAGAAAATTTCATCTGTAATTGCCTGCAGTAATGCCATTGAGATTTCCTACTATATTTTGCATTTGTCGTCTACATAAAAGGAGATGTTTGGTATATGTCAATAGGACAGCAACTCAACAAAATGAAAAACAGAAAAAAAAAGTTATTCACATTTTTTACCAGATATACCAAAGAAATAGTCGAATTTACAGTAATAACGACATACTATCAACTATGTCGCTATGTAGTAGTAACATAATATTTTTTTTTCACTTTGGCCCTAACCTTTTTCCGTACAAATTAGTTTCATTTTTTTTACATTACACAGGTATGGTTCTTATGGTAAAGCACGCTCCTTTAGGGAGTCATGTATTGAAGATAGAAGTAAAGGATACATGTGGTAAAACCAAGACCGACGAACTGACTGTAGAAGTCAAAGACGATTCTCCTGTAAGTGTCCCGTCTTCAAAGAATACTACAAATGAGGGGATGTGGGATATAGGGGGTAAAAAAGTGGGTTCTTGGAAAAAAAGTAGAAAAAGATAGGCGAAAGATACCAAATGGACATTCAAACTCATAAGTCGAAAATAAACCGACAACGTAATGGCTAAAAAGAAAGAAAAAAAAGACAAGCAGACAAACAACAGTACATAAAACACAACATAGAAAACTAAAGACTGAGCAACACGAACTCCATCAAAAACTTGGGTGATCTCAGGTGCTCCGGAAGGGTAAGAAAGTGGGAAAAAATTACAAAAAGAGTGATTTGGGGAATGAAAACAACCGGGTCATTCCCTAATCGTTCTAATCATTTACTTTGCTCTATTGTGTAATAATTCATTTGATTGTATTGCTCAAATTTTGGGCACCATGTTTGGTTAATGAAAAAATATCTTATCTTATGCCCTCACAAATGACTGATTTCTGTTTCATACGACTTGTAATACAATTAAAGCACAATAATTATATGATTGGCCGTTTGTATCAAGTGATATTATTTACGCTTTTAGCTCGCCTGTTCCAAAAAGCCAAGTGAGCTATTACCATCAATTGGCAGACTTTTTCAAAAATCTTCTGGCAGTTTTTTTCTTTTACTTTTGAGCGCTTATAACTGTGTTTTAGTGGTTAATATTTGTCAACAGCTGCAAAAACGGGTCTGTTACGGATTAATATTCCTTATTTGCCCAAAAGTAGAGTATTTTTGATGAATTAAAATATTGCATCTTGACCGATATCTGTATATTTTGTTTATTATAGTGCAACCTTAATATATACGTTATCATGACTGTTTACAATAACAAATATCAGTCAGCCTCCATAGGCTTATGAAGCACATTGTTCCAAAAACTATTAAAACATTAATTATTCAAAGAAAGTTATTTGTCAATATCATTTGTGCAAAAGGTTGGCTATTAACTTACAGTTAAATTTTGTGTGCGAATTTTAAATTATCAATAAAAAGAATTTGGCAACCACTGTTATCCTTGTACTGAGTGAAGCTTTAAGTTTGACTATATCGGATAGATTTGTTAAATCAGTTATATTTAGTTTGGAGGTCTCTATTGAGCAGTGAATAAAAATGGGCCTGACTTGCATATCTTACACAATTGTCTTTTTGCAAGAACTCCTCCATAGAGTCCCATTTAGATTTTAAGTATGAACACTTCGCATCTCAGTCGAGCAATTGCCGGTCTTTCTTGTCGAGAAATGTTCATTTTTATATACGGTTGCACGATGTAGGAGGAATTTAAGTGTTTATAAGTTTGATGGTCGGGTATGTCCTTTAGACTCTCTGAGCATTATTTCTGACGTTTCCGCAAAATTATGTCCTTAACGATTCAGTACTTTTAAAAGTGATTAAGTGTGGAAGTCCACAATCGTCCATGAATGAATTTTACACTGTAACTGTACGTATCACGAGTGTTGACAGAAAAGTGACAGTCCCATAGAAAGTTCGTAAGGGTATTCTCTTTCTGATCATACTCACTAATCGACACCAAAGTTTAACTATCTGCCATTGACATCGAACAGCTGGCGGAATGTATTCCATTTCAATTTCATGTTAATTCTATACTTTCTCATTTAAGCTTTGTTTGCAATAGAGAAGTTCCGAGTGAAACGAAAGGTGAACGTCAGCAAATTAGAGATCAACAAGATAATAGATTGAAAATTGCGTCCTTACTGCAGGCATAAGAGCTGCAGGAATTGGACAAAGTATCGTCAATGTTGCTGAAATATTTGATACTATATCATAAAAGGGTTAATGCACTAATATTAAGGAATATTAGTGCAACAACCCTATATTATTCAAACTTGTAGTGTCATGTACCTAAATTATAACCTTTCTATTTTTTGCATCTAGACGGCAGCACCTCCAGCAGTAACTACAAAAACAGTTACAACAACACTTACAACAACGCCCGATTATTATGATTATGGTGATGGAGATGATGGTGACGACAATAGTGGTGTTAGTGGTACTGCTGCACCTGCGTCAGGCACTCTACAAGGTATGTTACTATGGGTGGTAAACCTTTGTTGAAGGAGCAACATTTTTACTAGTGTTGAACTTCAAAGTCAAAGTGAGGCTTTTATATTCAATATTTAACGGTCTGATATTGTGTTTGTTCTCTAATGTTCTTTTTGGCAACACATCTTTAAACATTTTCATTCTGGTTTGTCTGTCCTATTTCTTTGTCTCGAAACGTTCACGATGAGGTCTAATAAAATGTCGGGATTTAATGCACCAAATTTAATTTAACGCACCAAATTTTATTGAATGCCCAAATCAAGAAATTCAAATCAACCGTAGCAAAAAGAAAATGTTAATTTTACTTTGAATTCAATTTGTGTCTCCTTAAAGAATGTTACAGATTTATTATGTTATATATTTATATTGAATGTCTTTTCTATTTATTAAAAATGATATTTGTCTATTAAAAAGATAGGGAAACTTGCGGATCTTATATATTCAATCGTTTTAACTCGAACAATCCACAGTTGTTGACAATTTGTGGTATGAGTAGTTCGTCTGTAATTAATTGAAGTTTTATTCGAAAGACGTAAAGATGTCGGTTACTGACATTGATTCTTGACAAAATATTGCCGAACCTTTTCATATAAAAATTTAAAGATAAAAGGATGTGATAAGATTCCCTTTGACACGGCTATACATCTAAATGCCATAAGACAGGGATGTAAAACCTACAGGTCTCAAGGACCCGTTTATATTTTCATTACTAAAAAAAATTAAAAACCAGGATACAGCCATTAGTATTATTATCACAATGTAGGTATGATTCTACTTTCAGAAATTAAAAAAAAAAAACAGTGTGGTAACCTTCAGCTTTTTATAGAAATCTTATTTGAAGATATCATATAAGTTTAAGAATTATCTGTCAAATCCTTTTCAATAGCTTGCAAAACCCTTTTTGATAATAGTTACAGTTTTATTGTTGTTGTTCATTCACTTGTGCTTTTTAGTTCAGTGGTCAATATTAGATTTAATTCGCCTGTTATAATTTGAAACAAGACTGATATATTACTTTTTAATCATTATTCTGTACAAATAAACTGTGAGCATTAACAACCGTGCAATATAGCATTTTTTGTAATTTTTGTGCTATTTTCACATTTCTTGAGCGTTCGATGATTTTCTTGATTTCTTCTGAATTTCCTATTGTGACGTCCTGAAAAAGGCGACCATGACATATAAAGAACACAACTTTCTGCAAATCTTTCGAAAGGAAGGATAAAAATCATTAGAGAAACAGATTCTACCACTATGACTAGTGTATTACGATATTTCTCCACTCTCGACAGTTAAATTTTAATTATTTAAAAAGCTCGGCAAGTATCGCGCTTTAAATATTAAAATTTAACTGTCTCGAGTGGAGAAATATCGTAACACACTTGTTGCAGTGATGGAATATATATGTTCATGATATTGAGTGATGAGACCCACTACAAATTATATATAACGGCCGATATTAGAGTGCAGGAAAGCATCGCAAATATTATGTGAAAGCAAGAACTTTGAATTTGCTTTCTGTAAATGCTAGATTAAAAAAAAAAAATTCAGTATCATTTATTTGTACCTATGTTTTGCTGTTCGTTATACAGATGAGGGGATTTTAAATTAAATATAATTGCACGTTATTCTAAGAACCACTGATAGAGATTATAGTGTGGAGAATGACGTGCTTTGAGACCGAGTTTGACCCAGCCACAAGTTCTTGTGTTCCTGTTGTCTTGTTACATTTTAATGACTATGTCCTTTAGAAAACTGGTGTTTATAGCTGATCTGTGTCTGTTAATTTTTTTTAACTTCTCTAGACTCGGTACACTTTAGAGCTTTTTTTGTGCTGACACTTGTCTATTACTAGAGACCGTATGCTGACCTCTTGATTTCTTTTGATTTTGTTCGTTTAACTACTTTCCAATAGTTAATTTTCCAAATACCAAACTTGTTTCCGATTTTAGATTTTTTTGCAAGGGAAAACAACACTAAGATAGGACAAACTGTATCCCTACGTATACAAACCTTGATGGGAGAAATTTTTTCAATGGTTTTCATGTACGTAAGCCTTTATGAATTTCTTTGCGTAATTACCTATTTTGCAAGTCAATTTTCACTAAAGATATGTAATGTACTCTAGACGAAGTTAATGTAACTGTCAGATACCACACAATACAGCATGGTTGTTCCAATTGCTTTGTAAAGGCAGGGATACAGTTTGTTCTACGTACCTAGGTGTTATATCCCTTTTCAACGATAGATAGAAATTGGAAATATAGTCAGTGGTTGGCGAATGCACTTTTGATGTTTACCCTACATATTTCTGTTGTGAATCGAATATATTACAATGTTGTTAAATGCCACTCCAAATTGATCCGTAGTTCTTCGGATTCGCTAGCTCCAAAATTTTGAAAACCTATTAAAAGGATAACCGCAATTTCATGAAGAATTTATGAATTATTACCCCATGTAAACGAAATCAACAGTTTTGATTTTTAAATATCAACGTTCATCCCCTCCCACCCAAAAAAACATTCGATCGCTGGCTCTATTTTTATGTACTTAAAAGTCAAAAGAACAAATTCAACAAGTATTTAATTTTGAGTAGCCTAATTATGGATTTGGTATACTAGTTGTATATTTTATGAATTCTCTAAAACCCCTGGTGTTTCAACGTTGATTATTATAGATTTCATAACGAGTGAGAATTGAGTATCGCTTGATATGAACCCGAGTTCTTTATTTAAGAATTTTAGGTCAAATATAATAAGAAATGAGCCTTTGGTGAGTTTATTATTATTATTACATTATTTAATTTTGGATGTAATACGTCTTATGATTGGCTGAAAGTTTTTTGTCTATCAGCTCATAGACATAACTTTGTCATCTGACTGTGACGTCATCAACGTTTTTTTCATGATTTACTCCTTAAAAATGGAATATAGAATTAAATTATAAGGAATTTGAAAACGAGATAACGTTGACATCAAGCGAAATCCAGTTCTCACAAATGGTAAACCTAATCCTCTTATGGAAAAAATTATCTTTTTCCTGGTGTAATATTATCGATTTCGCGAACTTTACTTCAATTATATAAGTCCGCTAACGGTAAGGAAAATATTGTGTCAGAAACCCAGACTTAGAGTACTGTTTTTACGCTTTTATATGGAATCAAGTTCGACAAATATTAAAGAAATAACAAGTCTCCTTTTCCAATTGGGGAAATGAACGTCATCATTAACCTAACGAATAGCCAATGGAAATGTCTTAAATTGGTAACAAGTTGCAAGATAAACCAACCATTTTCGAAACCATTATTCATATCACAATCCGTTCAGTGTTATAAGAGAAATATCTTTACATGCGGGAAGCTATGGTTTACACGCTACGATAATTAGAGATTAAACTGTATATAAATACACACTCTTTTGCCTTAATGTTATCATTATCAATATTACTTCCATGATGTTATGTAGCAGAGATTTTTCTTAATATGAAGTATGTTTAAATGTGATGAACAATTTATTTGCTAAGCAGTTCTTTTCTACCCTCATATAAGGGAAAAGTACATATGAACAGTGACAAGGCATGTTAAAAATTAATATTGATAGATTTTTTTATTTGTACATATTAGAGATAATTTCCTAATGCTTGTAGATTAAGACTTTGGTTGGCTTGATTGCTTTGTTTGTATAAACGTGTACTCAAGCAATTGTAATTAAGATTGACATCTGCAAACAATATAGATAGGCGGAGTTAAACCTGAAAACATTAAACATGAATTTGATTGGATGTTATCCTGGAGGTTACAATGCTTGAACTACCGTTTGTACAAACAAACAAAGCAAGCCAACCAAAGTGCTAATCTACAAGCATTATGAAATTAGCTCTAAAATAAGGAGATGTGGTATGATTGCGATTGAGACAACTATCCACCTAAGTCCAAAGGACGTGGATGTACGCAACTATAAATGAATGTAAGGCCTTCAACAATAAGCAACACCCGTATAGTAAACTATAAAAGGCACCGACATGACATGTGAAACAATCAAAACGAGTAAACTTTTGCTTGCTATGATTATACCAGCTGAATGACAATGCATTTATCAATTTATGTACTTATATTTTTTTCAGAGTTCGAATGGGATTGGCTTGTTGCTGTTTTAATTGCAGTAGGAATTATTTTGTTAGTAGCAGCGCTTATTTTCTTCTTCCACAAGAAAGGGTGGCTACATAAACATCATAGAACTCTCCCTATGAGGAAAAATCCAAAGGATGTAGAAAGTTCCGATGGTCTTAAAACTGAAACAAAAGTTGATGACCTCAATAAAACTGAAAACAAACCAGATGTCACAAGTAATAATGGCACGAAACAGAATGATGTTAAACAGGATGGAATTAAATCAAAGGACTCAAAACCAGATACAACCAAATCAAAATATTATACCAAACTTAAATAAACCGTATACACACATATTTCTATTGGATTATTTCAATTATTTCAATTTGTTAAATTGAGGAAATACATATAAAATTGTAATTTAATGGTGGTCATTTATAAGAGAAATTTCATCACCTTTTCTAAAATCTTTGTTGCGTTTTTAAAATGACATCGTTTGGATTTATATTGCTGTTTTGCTGTTCATATTGTATTTAAGGGTGAATATGACTTTTTATTAAAGTTATTCATTAATGGAGTATAGCAATGCTGAGTAAGAAATACTTCATTCTTTTGTAACGGTAGAATGAGGGAATGATAATGTTCAACTAGAATTAAGGTGCACTTTGATTGATCGATTATTCATGGTACATGTAGATCGATTATTCATGGTACATGTAGTAGAGGTACAACTAATGAAATGTTTTTGCTGACATAAAAATAAAGAAAATGAAAGTTTTGATACGAGAATGAAACTGAACAAAAATCTATCTATATTTCAAAATATTTTAAATCACTAAAACGAGAGCAATATGCTTCTTATTTTAATACAAATTTTGAGTTGTACCAGAAATATCGGACCAATTTTGAAACTCACAAAAAAAATTCGGAAAGCCGGTGACTTTGCTACAGAGGTTGGTTTCCGACGAGAAAAGTCTGTTCAACTTTTGAATTAGTATTGCACAACCTGTCAAAACCAATTTTTGTTACAGCATACAGACTGTGTATTTGACAGTTGCTAAAACCAATTTTTGTTACAGTTTTTTTTCTCTCGTATCGGACCAAAACAGTTTTTATCTCCAGTTTTTTTTTTTTTGAAATATAATGCCATTCAAAGAGGAAACCATGCAAGTGAAGAACGAATTAATAGTCATCGTGGATATACGATATCAGTCACTTAAAACCAATGTTCTTATATATTTTTATTGTAAGCTGTTTATCATTCATGTGTATCTTTTGTCTTTCAAACAGAAATTAGTATTTTTCATATTATTTATTTAGTGTTGTCTTTTTATGAGTGTGGAACAAGTAATTTTAGAATCAGAGTCGGATTTCCATTGTGTTATTATGATATTATTCTCAAAAACTCATTAGTTATGTCGCTGTGTTAATGTAAAAATGGTCCTAAAACTGTTACTCTTGATCGTAGATCAATTTCATCGAACTATTGATTATTGTTTCTTTTATCTACTATTTTTATTTACAAACGACTTCATAAGAGTAAATAAACTGTACAATTTTGATCTCAACAATTGAAATGTTAGTTAAGATTGCAAGGAGGCAGAGCCAGGTTAATGGACGTGACTTTAAGAAATCACTTGTGCGTTTGTGGTGCCAACAATTCATATGAGTATTAAAAGTTTCGAAGTAACATGGATTAATTAAATTCTGTTTCACATGAGTGCTTAAAAGGCAATGATAAAAATACCAATTGTAAACGCATTATTGGTTTAAAGAGTTATCATTTTTAACCGAGCTCTACCCCTTTGCTTGACAGTTGCCTGTGATATAAGTATGAAGTTATATACTTACAGTTTTTGTCAAATATGAGGTTACATGTACAGTATTTCCAACATACAATGTATGTTTAATTTGTGTGTAGCTGTGATGATGAATGAGATGCTTTCTACTTGTCTTCATATAAAATATTATAAACGTCAAAATTTGTTGAATAGTTTTTGATTTCTGTCTTTGATTGAAATTACCACTTATTCCAATTCAAGTCCTCACTGATAAAAACCTTTAATTTGACCGAGAGGAACCTTTTTAGTGCAAAAAATATGCAATAAAAATAAAACCTCAGTACATTATATCTAAAAGTCACATATATTAGTTTGATTTGAAACAAAACAAAAACAAATGACACATTTGGAAAACACACCAGTGAATGTATCGAATGAAATCTTTTGTTGGTTTTCAGTAGGACAACCGGAAGTGCATATTTTGGTTTAATGTGATTCTGCCATGCTTAGAAGTCCAACGTTATTGGAAATTGGCGTGCCTCCAGATGTCCTACTGCTTATGAATAGGTGTTTGTACATTTCATTGCTTTCACTTAACGTGAGAATTATTATCAAAATAGTACATAACGATGAAAAGTGAATAAAAAGAGTCGATAAAATTACAAAAAGTCAAGATACAACTAGCAATAGTTTGTTCACATCTTTTCACATGACATGTCATTTACTGTTTTTAGCATCAAAATAAGTATACGGTATATTAAGTTCACGAGAATCAAACTTTGTAAGGTAAACAATATCATTAAATGCCCCTCCCCACCCTAATAAAAAACAATTTTACACAATAATTTTTTCTTTAACCCCAGGTGAGGTCTGGGGGACCAGTCCACTTATGACAAACAAAACCAATTTCATATTGTATAAGTGAATAATATGCTGTGAATAAAATAATGACTACAAATTAGTCGTAAAAGTTTATCTAAGTAATTAAAAAACTATACATAACATTGGATAATGAAGACAAAACTGTGAAGCTTTCTTGGCTCCGCTAGGGGAAATATTAATAACAATAAATACGACATTGTATTTGTTGTGATGTATGGAAAGAGCAATGAAACCAACAATAACGGCGCATACATTATTTTTAAGTTTGACAAATAAACATATATCTTTTGAGAGTTATTGACAAAGTAAAAGATTTAAGAATTATATTGGAATATCTTTCTGGAGGGTTAAATCTTTATTTCAATAATATGAAAATAAAAAACACATAGTATAGATATAAACTTGTTAATTTATTAATACGTTTGAACAAGTTTCAGTAAACGCGGATAAAAAAAACACAAGGACAAATATTGCTAAATGTGGTGGGAAAATACGTTTCAACAGTTATTCTACAAACAAAAATATGATGAGAGTTCTTAAATCTATATTCCCGCTCCCTATAGATATTCATACGGAACAAAATATAGATTAATTTTGACGGATCACAATTGCATCTGGTTAAACGATTCTGCAAATATAAGTCAGTGAACAATAATAGATTGCATATTTTTTATTGATCTATTTAAGTCCGTGTTTTTGCAACAATATTGAAAGAAACCTAAAATTATCCAAATGAAAGTAAAGTATGTGTACAATGTAATCCAAGATACCAGTACGGAAAATTCCCTAACAGTTTCATTGAAATCATGTCACTGGTTTAAAAGCAGCCGAGAATACGATGTACCGGCGGACAAAAGTATGGACGAACTGAGACAACGATCACTATAAGATTATAGCAACATATCAAACCAACATTATAAGATAGAAAAAAAGAACAGTGCAAAACTTCGAATGAAGTGGCAATACAGAAAAAAAAACATAAAAAAAGAACGGAAAGAGTGAAATGTTGTTATACTGACTTTCGGTACATAATTTCAAAGGAAAGGGCAAGTTTTATAACACCTTTAACTTGTGAAAACAAAAGGAAAAATATATCATGGATGCCATGTGAAAACAACATAAGTCGAAGGAGAAAAGAAAACACCATGGCCAAAAGAAAAAGACGTAGAGACATATAGTTAAACACTACACAGAAAACTATAGTGATGGCCGCCATTTTAAGCTTTCTTTTAAAATTTTATGCAGTTGGACCTGTTAAGAAAAAATAACCTCATCATTCTACAAAACAGTCTTGATCTAACAATTTCTGTGATAGTATCTTGATCCAATAAGGTTGTTAAGTTATTGTACTTAGCATAAGTTCCTCAATAGGAAATTGAATGTGCTATGTAAATATCCCCAACAACGTCTTTGCTTAATGTGTAATAAAGACTTGAACAATCTTTAAATTTCTTATGGCAATGCAGTTATTTCATTTATAAAGCTGAAGTTGAAATAAAAGCACTGGATTGAATTATTCTGGTAATCTGTGAGACTTGAAATATTTTGATCGAAATAAAAGCTCTGTGTGCGAGGTTGAGTAATCACAAAACAGTTGAACCCCGCTAGATATGTTATGTGAATTTCAAGTCAAGGACTCGTTGGTGGTCTTCTTTGTTTTATTCATTAGGAAAACTTTGTGTTGCTGGCAAGTATGTGATAGTCCTCAGTGAATCCCTTTACGACTTATTTGTAGCCTAACATAGTTTTTTAGACTGCTCGACACGTCTCCACAATAAATTCATTTGTGGTGTACTGATTGATATTTTAGTCTGGGGAATACTTGGTCTGTTTATCAGTTGAATTAGGCTTTGAACTAGCTTTCAGCAACTGTGAGTACTCTCAAATCATGTTTTTGTTGTTTTTATTCTACATACCAATGAGTGAAGCACTATTCAATTGTTCATAGTCTGTTTTGATGTTGGACCGTTATATGACTGTCCCAGGGTCAGACGAGGTTAAGCACTCACAAACATGTTTACCCCCGCCACATTTTTTATGTACCTGACCCAAACCAGAAGCATGCAATCCAGTAGTTTTCTTCGGTACCTATCTGTTTTTCTTTAATGTTATTAGCTTAAATCAGACCATTTTGTTATCCCATGGCATTTTACAGCTGACCGTAAGACTTTACGGTATGCATGGGTTTTGTCCATTGTTGAAGGCCGTACAGTGACCTGTAGTTGTTTACACCCTTGTCTGTTTGTCTTCAAATTGCAGAATAAAATTGAGAATGGAAATGGGGAATATATCAAAGAGACAACAACCCGACCAAAGAGCAGACAACAGCCGAAGGCCACCAATGGGTCTTCAATGCAGCGAGAAAATCCCGCACCCGGAGGTGGTCCTCAGCTGGCCCCTAAATAAAATTGTGTGCTAGTTCAGTGAAAATGGACGTCACACTTAACTCCAAAACATATAAATGAACTAAAATTAAAAAACATACTAGACTAACAAAGGCCAGAGGCTCCTGACTTGGGACAGGCGCAAAAAATGCGGCGGGGTTAAACATGTTTTGTGAGATCTCAACTCTCCCCCTATACCTCTAGCCAAAGTAGAATAAAGAAACATATAGCAATACGCACAGTAAAACTCAGTTTAAAAGAAGAAACTTGCATTGTATTTTTCTTTTGTTCTACTGTGTTGTTCGTTTGCTCTCTTATTGATGTACATACTTATTCATAATATTTTTATTGTGGTAATCCTAATTTTCGGTTGCTGGCTTAATTTGATTTTTATGGACACCCCTGGACAGCTGTAAAATTTCGTCTCATCTTTTAATATTTCACAGGTAAAGATATACTACTAAGAGCAGTATTAAACTGATTTTATGTACTGTAACCATAGTGGTAGCCACGGACGAACAAATATCTTCCCTTCCATCGTAAGGCGTCACAGTGCAATGTCTAGTCTATCCGTACAGTTGTTTATGATGCTACCTCTCATTTTGGTAGTATTTTCAATCTTTGGATTTAAATATGGTAAGAACTAATACATTTTATTGAAATCATTTCACTATAATTAACATTTGTTAATTTGCAATTGTTGAATTAAATAAGTTTTTGTTATTTTGAACGGAATTGGGTATATATATATTCGTAAACGTTAATTATACAGCAACAGACTAAAACAATAAAAAAGGGGGCGTCGAAGTAGATACACGGTTCTGAATATCATGTTTACACACCAAATGTCTATAGCGTTCTTAGAAATGACAAGTTCCGAAAAAATTTATTTAAGACTAACAAAACACCTAGTTCTAAATGTACAAATAGAACCATGAAACAACGATAACCATCAACTTCTTACAGACACATTCACATAGAGTAAACTAGCTTTGTATCTCTTAGACAATGACCGTCAAAGACTGACGTATCTCGACTCATTCGTTTTGACACAGGTATCAAATATGTTGCATTCGCAGAGTTCGTAACCTCATTATGACAGTTTAGACCGTCCTGTCCTGAAAACAACACAGAGAAAACTGGAAGCAATAAAAGAGGTTTGTGGGAGAACGGGATAGTCAACTTGTCGCAGGGTTTATTTTCTTATACAATTTTATAGAGCACCCGAGATCACCCCGTTTTTTGGTGGGGTTGGTGTTGCTCAGTTTTAAGTTTTCTAAGTTGTGTTTTGTATACTATTTGTTTACTTTTGATCATTTTTTATGTTGACGTGACATTTTCAGGTTGTTTTCGACTTACGAGATTGAATACCCCTTTGGTATTTTTCGCCTCTCTCTTTCCTAGGAGTTTTTCCAAAATTTATTGGATGACTTTTAAAGAAAAGATATTCACGAAAGACCTTGGATAAGAATATCCTTCTTTTTCTTTCTTTATATATATATAAATACTCAAAAGTTGTCAAAATCTATCAAAGTTGCAGTTGCATTTTGCTTCACTCATGATTTGTTAAAATGTCAAGAAATACATGAAAAGTTAACACCTAATAATAAGGCCGTTGGTTTTCTGTTTGGAAATTATACATATAATATTTCACTTTTTATTTCATGTCGGGCCTTTTATAACTTACCATACGGCATACGTTTTGAAAGGCGTCCGGTGATCTTTGATTGTTCCCATCTTTGTCATTTGCCGTTCATGGGAAGTAGTTGTCTTATTATATCCCATATACAAAATAAGGAGATGTGGTATGATTGCAAACGAGACAACTATCCACATCTCTTTATGTTTACATGCGTCGCCAACGGGAAAGCAAGTCTAATAACCTCCCGATCCTGTTCATCATTCCTTCCGTTCTTCCTCCGTCCGAAAGACCTTCGGTAGAAAATATTCGTCAAAGTTCAATTCATTATACATAGCTAAGGTCTAAATCCGGTAAAGGTCTTGTTATACACGAAGCAGTCATACAGTCACATAGTTTGTTTCGAGAATAGGTTGCAATGACATACTTATTTTTTTCAGTAAATGCTTGTGATTGTTTGAGAATAGGTTACAATGACATACTTATTTTTTTTTCAGTAAATGCTTGTGATGGTACGAGAATAGGTTACAATGACCATGGAAACGGCAAAGATATTGACAGTCAATTATCAAGTTAGTTTAGTTATTAAATTAAGAAATTATTTAAAAACCGATGGTTCTAACTCCCTCAGGCAAATATGACCTTTTTGTGACCACTATGTGGTATGATGGCCAATGACACAACTATCTACCAAAGTTCAAATCCTTATTCAAGTTTATATTAGATGGATTTCGTTATTATTTATGGTCCCTTTTGGTCATACAGCTCTTGGCGTGTATTTTTATTTCCTTGGCTTTCAATTTTTGGGATTTGAACCACCCTTTTGAAAGTAAACTCAGAAAAACTATTCGGGCGCAGCAAATTTATAAAATGTTCTTTTTATCATCCATTAGTTAAGTATTATTTAATAATTGTTGATTATTGGAAATTTTGTTTATAACTATTTTATTTGATCAAAGAGACAAAAAGGATCGGACACAGGTTTAACCAAATTATGAAGTCTTCTATTGCATTATTGGAAATTAAATGTGAAGAAGGTCGAATTGAGGATAAAAATCACTTGGTGATAAAGATATATGAAATACATATTGAATTTAGGACTTTTCGGAATATAATCATTTATATTCTTTTTGACAATAATAATACAGTAGAAACATACAAAGAACTCTCCTACTTACTCAGTCTTAAGTTTTCTATGTTGTGTTTCGTGTACTGTTGTTTGTCTTTTTGTCGTTTTACGTGTTTAGCCATGGCGTTGTCAGTTTGTTCTCGATTTAAATAAGGGAGTTTGGGTATCACTTTGGTATCTTTCGCCTCTCTTCTACAGCAAATCATGATTCATAAGAATGTTTTTGTGAGATATTGAAAAAAAAGTATAAATATTGTGGAAATTCTATCTGTAATATATTCACTCTTCATTATACATCGTTGATATGATATAAAGACAGACTGTAAACAGCTACAGGTGCTTTTAGAATTCATTGAACGCATTTAAGATACAGGTTTCATTAACATAGGCTATGCTGGAAAATTTCTATCATTACCATGTGACAATAGCTACCAATAACAATTTAGTATTTGTAGTAATTTCCATGAATTTCACTTCTTTAAAAAAACACATAAACTGACCGAATGAATATTTGACAAGAACATTAATAAGAAGATTAAAAATTATCTAAGTTTTTGTTAATACTTACTGATTGATATTTTTAGACTATGGAGTAATTGCTACAGATAGTAAGTTTACGTTCGACTGTTGTGGTACTATAAGAAGATGGCGAGCTACAGCTGGCGGTCCAGGAGAAGTAGATTTACAAGTATGGCGACCAACTGGCAAGGAAAACGAGTTTAAACTGATGGGACAAAATACTTTAGTATGTAAGTATGATCATTGTTGATTAAGGTAGCGTATACAGTTAACTCGAATAATAATGCATCCATAGATTGATGATGCGTGTAGTACGGCATATTATAATATAACGATTGGCCATGGATTACTCGGGCACCAATATTAGTGTTCATGTATGGGTACCTGGACTTTTGTTTCCTCTTTCTATACAAAGTCTGTTGACTGCAAATAAAACAATAAAAAAGAAAATTAAAAAAAAAAATAACCATTAATATCAAATCGAACGTTAAAAAATAAATGACTATTATGAATTAAAGATGATAATAAAACATCATCATTATTTTATCATTTTCCCACATTTGAATTATAAAAATCTAGTTAAATGACTAATGCAGTTTACCTTAAAAGATAAAATGAAATAACACAATCTTTCTGTTACTTTTCCCTACTACAAAATTATTTCAAGCATACAGTGTCACATATTATATAAAGTGCTCCGGGGAATTTGGGACTTGCCCTTGTTGCGTTATTTTGATAAGTTTGTTTGTTTGTTTGTTTGTTTGTTTGTTTGGTTTTTTTTTTTTTTTTTTTTTTTTTTTTTTTGCTTGTTTAGGGGGGGGGGGTTCTATTGTTTAATTATTTCAACAATCTGGCAATCAATAAGAATCCGCTCGTTCAATCTTACTATTATTACGAGTTACGGGTAAGGTATCCAACATACGGGGATCTGTAATGGTAATGTGCACCAACATACAGGGATCTGTAATTCGTTTTTCAACTTACAGTAACAAATTTAAACACATTGCATTTCACATCATTACAGTAACTGGGGTGATTTTTTTAAAATTCGGTTGTTTTTATTTTTGATAATCCGTGAAAATGGCGATAAAGATTGTAATTTATGTTTCAGTTGATAAAGCAGGGGGTGTAGTTACAAATATACCAGAAGAAAATAGAATTTCTGTTGAGAAAGGTGATTATATGGGATGGTAAGTAATATCGAAGGTCAATTAGTTTTTTGGATGATAGATATTCTTCATCGTTTCTTAAATCTAAAGGACTATGGGTAATGTCATTGTTAGTACACAAAAAAGGAATAACATCATTTCATAGGTTGAATTTTCATTGTCAAGGCCGTTGTGAGCCACTCATAACATTTTGCACGCTTTTGAAAATATTACCCAGAATGTAATAGATTTTGAAACAGTGAATTGCCGAAAAATATATGTATACTAACAAACAAGGTATTATATAACTAGTATTTGAAACAATTGAAAGGTGTTTCCCTTAAAAGTCTGATATTTGTAATGTACCCTTTACGACCTTTCATTTGATATGCGACACAATACCTTCTTAAACGTTTCACTTTTCGCACTTGATGACCCTATCCACCTCAATTTTCGAGATCAGAAGTATGATATTTGTAATGTAGACTTGATGATCTTTCATTATATATGCAACAACATCACCATCTAGTAAGGTTTATATTTTTGCACTTAATAACCCCATCCAACTAATTTTTGGGGGACATGCATTTGATATTTGAAATGTACACAGCACGACCTTTCGTTTGATATGCGACAAATTTGTTTTTTCGAACCCAATGATCCCATCCAACCCACTTTTGGAGGACAAAAAATTGATGTTTGAAATGTGCGCTTTATGGACTTTCATCTGATATGCGACAACCTTCTCTTTAAGATGGAAAAGGGGGTTTAAAATTTTCATTTTTGAATAGACCTCATTTACACGTTCAATTTGATCTGTCGCATGACCCCATTTGGCAAAGTCCAAAAAATGATGCAACATCAATTTTATAAACAGAACTTATGAACAAAGTCAACGTAAAACAAGAAAATTTCAAACTACTTATTTTTCTTTGTTTTTCGTCAAATGTTTTTTGGGATTAAGTCAAAAATATAACCATGTTAAACTCTTCAATTTCTGAAAATTCCAATGGGCTAGCCATTGTTGATTCAGAAATATATGCCCTCGCTAAAAAAAATAACAAACTGCAATTTCTCTAAAACGACAACATAAATCTCAAATCTGCCAAGTGTAACATGATCTGTAGGTGAAGTACAACGCTGTATCGCAAATTCCATAGCTCTTTAAGGGCACAATGAATAATTAAAAATACGAGGCAATACCGAACTTTAGAACCGGAAGTCGTAGAGACATGGGACTATCACCGTTCAACTCAGGACCACTTGACCTTTCAAAAGGTCACAATGTCAAGGTTATAGTACCATTGAAGGTTAAGGTCGAAATGCTCAACATAAAAAGGAACAGAGAACACATAGAATGCAATTTATTTTCGATGTAAGGGGTCGACCCCTAAGATATTTAACAATGAGTCGATATCATCTTTTCTATTTAAGGCACACAAAAACGAGTGGTGCGATTATTTTTGAGGATGGCGGAAGTGACGGTAATTACGTATTGCAGGCAATGCCAGGGGCTTCATTTGGAGCATTAGTTGATTGGTCGGCTGCGACAAGGGTCGATAAAAGGTCATACTCTATTGAAGCTCTAGGAAATGAAAGTATGTTTATCTATCTATTTTCAATTTTTTCTGCAATTTTTTCTTCGTTCAGTGTCTGTACTAAGTCGGGAATATGACAGCTGTTTTTCACTCGTTCCGTTGGTTGATAACGTTTGATTTTAACATTTTTTATGGACTTCCCCTTTTTTTATTTTACATTGGAATTCTGTAATTTGTTATACTTTTTTTCCATTTCGTTGACAGGAACAATAAGTAAAAGTTCACCTTTTTTATCTAATTTCTTTCTAGCAATAATTATGTCGGTACTTAAAAAATCAAAGTAATAAATGGGGGAAACTGAATCCCAGAAGTTCAGACCTTTAGCTTTAATTATAAGATAGGCTTACAGAACGATGACCGAAAGATGAATTCACTGATTTGCACTATCTATCTGGAAATTCAAATAAATTTCAATAGAAAGAAGAAGTGTTAGAGGTAGACATAGACATAGACGTAGACACAATTGCTAACATCAACTTCATTTGAACTTTGGTGGATAGTTGTCTTATTGGCAATCATACCACATCTTCTTATTTTCATATAGTAATAATAATGTATTGAGTTTGAAGAAATTTTCCTGAGGTATTTAGATAAAGTATGAAAAAATAAAAAATATTGATATCAAAGTGTTGAAAACAAATTACGAAAAATAGTCAAAATTACAAATCAAGAAAGTTAAATCTTAAATTGTATTCCGAGCAAAATTGAATTCTATTATTTCCTAAATGCAAAATTTTGAAAATGCAAACAGTGACTAAATAACATTTGTTTTTGTCGTTTGTCCTTTTTCGACGCGTAAAATTATCTGTATATGTGGTGATCATGAAGAAATAAGGAGTTATAAAAATCAGGAGATATGATATGGTTGACAATGAGACAACTGTCCACCAAAGACCAAAGGACAAGGATATAATCAATACAACATGAGAACGACCTGTAAAATCAGGTATAAGGGCTTTGACTCAAGCACAAAAAAAACCAACTGGCAACAGAAGGATACCGATATAAGAGGACTCGTCTTGGAAAACCGATTTAAACAGTTTGGGAAAACCATGACCTTGTGCATTTCAAAAATATAAGTATTGACAAGATGCAAGATCGTAAGTGTTAATAACTGGATAGCAGTATATGGACACATATGTATTAAACTTTTGAAAATAAAATCAATGGTAGTGCCAATTATTTCATTATGTACTGAATGCAATTGGGAATATTCATCAGGCACGTTCATTGTCAAGAGTTTGTTATATATATACTGAAAGAAAAGCTAAGTAGAATACATAAAAGAGAAGCGAAAAATACCAAAGAGACATTCAAACTTATAAGTCGAAAATAAACTGACAATGCAATGGCAAAAAAAGAATAGACCAACAGACAAACACAGTTTTAAAAACACAAGATAGAAAACTAAAGGCTGAGCAACACGAACCCCACCAAAAACAGAGAGTGATCTTAGATGCTCATAAGTAACCGAAATCATTGAAATATTGGCATTTAACCTTACTTGAAAAAGTAAAATAACAAAAAAAAAACGAACTCCACGGAAAATTCAAATGAAAACTTATGAAATAGAGAACACTGTTCCGTAAATTGTCTCTTAATATTGCTTATATTTTTTCTCAGATATGCCACCGAGTTTTAAGAATTTACCACACACTAGCATCATTTCACAAGCTGATATGTATGATATTGACCAACAACCAACGGAAGTTTTCCTTATAGAAGTCACTGATACTGATGTACATGACATTCCTGGATTGAAAGTGGAAGTATTCGGATTCGATCAATACTTTCAAATAAAGAATACAAGTACGTAAACAAATAAACAAGGTGTGAATGAAGATATGTTTTCTCTACAAGTTTTTCACTCAGAAAAATAAACAAATGGAATAATGATCATAATGTAGTTCTACATTAAAGGGGAATTATTTACTATTTAGAAAAAAAATCAAAATATGATTTTCAAACATTTATAAAAGCTGAATATTGAAATAATATATCGCTATCAGCAGTCAGTTTTGTTAATTTTTGTCAAAATGTGCAAAAAAAAAAACACCATCGCTGATGTATTATTGGCTTGCAAGTCAATAATACAACCTCATTTGAATATGTATTCATGAGACTTTTCATTTAATCTTAACCGGAGACGGGTTGCGCATAATTTCAGCATTTTTAATATATCTCAACCCCATGTCCATATAGCTAGAGAAAGGTTTCATCATTGAAGGAAAATTCGGAGAATGATACATTTAGAATAAAATCTTCGTAACTAACTTTTCAAACAAACAGTCCTTCGATCAGGGTTTTTAGAAGCCTTAGATTTGTAAATATTGTTGTTCAACCTTCTGTAAATTTGTGGTACTGTGTATTGTTCTTTGTATCATGTTTTCCCGAAAACTTTTTTCCAAGATAATTTGACAGAAAAAAATGACTAACTTCAATTTAATCTTATCATTTTTTTACAGATATGGTTGTTATCGTAAGCGAACCTCCTGTAGACACTTATGTATTGAAAATAAAAGTAACTGATCATTGCGGCTTCAACAAGACCGAACTATTGACTGTAGAAATAAAAGACTTCGGCACTGTATGTAACAGAAATAAGATATAACAAATATATGCCAGTGATTAACCAAGACAATACAAATGAATATAAAGTCGAATCTTATTTCTTATAAATGAACATAATACTTTTTACATCGCGATGACCGTGAGGGCATTCCGATGTATTGCTATCGCCTAGATTTCCATTGCGTAATATTCGTTTTGGGTTTTTAACCGATCTATAAAAATGATAAATACGCGGATATTAACGAGTGCAAAATAACATTCCTTATCGTTTGTTATAAATACATCTCTTCAATGAATACTGATAAAAATATTTTTGTTTAGAACATAAATTGATAATATGAAAATGTTTTGTCGTTAGATATATATATATATATATATTAAATGACTGAATAATAGCCAACGATAAATCTTACGGGGCGATGGATCATATAAATATGATACAGTACACTACAAAATATAATATATAACCAGTCTAAAAGGGTACAACATCACCAAAAAATGACAATAAACGAACAAATGTAACTTTAAATATTTCGGATAACAGATATCCTTCATCAATATGAGCACGATGTAAAATGAATCAGATAAATCTATTCTGATTATTAAACTATAGCAATCTTGAATTCTATACAATAAAAAAAGTGAAACAGTTTCACCCGAACATCATATGTAGAGACGCTAATAAATTTTTAAAATTTCCAAAAAACGACTCAAAGACATGCCTAAAATGAAAATAGTAATTATAGATATGAACTGGCACAACTTTAAAATTCCAAAATGACGTCAGTTAAGATGTTACAACTGCGTGTAAATACATTCCCAAAAGAACAGCACTGATCGATATAAGCTGGTAAAATATGACAAACAGAGGCTGCGTATTTATCATTCCAAATAAATAGCAGTTTTATAATGAAAAGAAAAAATAATAGTAAATTTGGGCTAAGGTTATAAGTTGGACGTGGATGCGTGACTACACCTGCAAGCCCGACCTCCCCGTAAGTCGTCATTTGAGATCACCTGGGCACGGCCAAGCTGATCTCAAAAACCTTAGAATCACAATCATAGACCACAACGAGGGTTGGTCAAGGGCCGAAAGACTTGCTCGGGGAAAGGTTTTGGATAAGAAAGCTAAGGACAGTTTCCCCAGAGGGCATAAATGAAAAAACATAGAATGAGTCACTCATTTTCCTGACATCATTTGTTTCCAGTTACTCCGGCTTCCTTACTTGACTCTTACAGTTTTAAGGATTCTTTTGGAATTTTTGGAATTTTACTAGTTTCAATACCAGGGTTCTTTTCATTTGGTAGGGATATACAAGTACGCATCCACGTCCAACTTTTAACCTTAGCCCAAATTTACTATTATTTTTTCTTTTCATTATAAAACTGCTATTTATTTGGAATGATAAATACACAGCCTCTGTTTGTCATATTTTACCAGCTTATATCGATCAGTGCTGTTCTTTTGGGAATGTATTTACACGCAGTTGTTGTAACATCTTAACTGACGTCATTTTTGGAATTTTAAAGTTGTGCCAGTTCATATCTATAATTACTATTTTCATTTTAGGCATGTCTTTGAGTCGTTTTTTGGAAATTTTAAAAATTTATTAGCGTCTCTACATATGATGTTCGGGTGAAACTGTTTCACTTTTTTTATTGTATAGAATTCAAGATTGCTATAGTTTAATAATCAGAATAGATTTATCTGATTCATTTTACATCGTGCTCATATTGATGAAGGATATCTGTTATCCGAAATATTTATAGTTACATTTGTTCGTTTATTGTCATTTTTTGGTGATGTTGTACCCTTTTAGACTGGTTATATATATATATGTATATACATATATATATGTACCGAAAAATTGTGTTGAAGCATGCGGAAGAATATCTCAAGAACGTTTTGCGACAATCCCGGCAAGGACCGGTAACTCTGCATGGAAGATTGTTTTTTTGCGGGAAAATATGAATGCCTACCCATATCCAAACTTTTAGAAAAATCGAATTTTTACAGAAGAGTGTCCACCATGCACTTGCACTGCACTATTATTAGAATAGTAGAATAAAATGATATTCAAATGGATGAAAATTATATATACATGTAACTGTTATATTAATATAATATACAACAACAAACCAGTGTATACTGATTTGTATCACTACAATATAATAGTTATTACGGTGAGGTTGAATTTCCTGTCATTTATTCATCATCCACGCACGAAATTGTCATAGAAAAAAAATATCTCTGTACATTAACCTCAGTTTCAGGTATAGAGATGTGATTTTTTTCTGTGACAAGTGCTTTTGACCATCCACAAGAACTTGCGGTCATCCGATGTTCAGTACTTCAGAACTTTGATTAAATAAGTACGTGCCAGTTTAAAGGTCCGCAAATGCGGATTCTTTATACCATTGCTTAAGACCATAGAGTTAATTTTACAATAAAAAGTGAAATAAGAGCGCATTACTTTCGATTCATAATATCGTGATTTTTATGGAAGTGTTATTCCATAATCCTTAGATATGAATATTCTCTGTGTGTTTTTTGTCTGGACACGCGTCTTCGTGATTCTGAGTTGACGCGTTCTAACATAGGTGTCAGACCACCAATTCACTCACTCCAATTGAGAACGTATATAAATGTAGCCCTACTCTGTCAAAAAATAGTGCTTTTGATGTCATTGTTTACTTAAACTAACCAACAAATATGCAGAAATGAAACTTTTGGTGAAAGCGAAATATATTTACACCATTTTGAGCCAAAATTTACTTGTCTATGATTTTGCATTAAAAAATGAGAATGAATGCGCTCCATAGTATACTCATTTAAGATTTCCAGAAAACCAGGGGTTATTTTTAGTAGTACTTGACTTCCGAAGGCAGTTCTTTCTTACAAGACTTTAAACATGGCTTGAAAATTGGCATGTAGAAAGGTGATACACGTACAATTCAGGATATACCTGGTTTCTATGAAGTTAAACTTAGGGTAAAATATGAAGAAAGCTGTGACAAATTGCAGAATTTGGTTGAATAGATAGGGATTTTGAATTGGTGGTTTGATACCTGTATTCCAATGTTCTCCGGTACCGTTAATACTTTCCCTTTTATAACAGTTATTCCGACTTGCCCTTCTGTTTTTGAGAAAGAATTGTATATAAATACATGAATATCAGCAAGCAACTTTAAGCAATAATTCTTTATCTCAGTTTTGAGATTTAAATAATGCCAGTAGGAAAAAATGACAAGATACAAACTGATGGCAACAGTTATAAAAATACAATGCACGAAAAAGATATTTTTCATCGCATGATTTAATACCCTTGATATAGAGATAAGAAGCAAAATCGAACAAGCAGGTAAAAAGATGAATTTGAATTATTGTCTTAACAGAGTATCTATAGTCTTGTAAAGTTCAAATCCGTTCGGTAAATGTAGCATTTATTCTGTAAAGCTTTCATATATTTAGTTTAGATAGCACGATGACATTAAGCGTTTCATATTTGTATATTTTATCTGTAGACAACTAAAGCTCCAAATGAACCTGCTAACACAGCTGCGGCAACAGGGGATTCGGAAGGTATGGTATATTTTTATTGTAATTTACCTATTTTTATATGCATTGTTTGCAGTTAAGAACTAAATTGAATTATCAAAAAAAAAGAGATTCATTGAAGATGTGTGGTTTCACTTACACAAAGCTAATAGAAAATGGTATTTTACAGTTATAGTTATAATGTAATATATAATTGAAGATCAGAAGACGTATCATTGATAAGGTCATACTTATACTTTATTGGTATTGTTTAGTTGTCTTGTCTTTTTATTCCTCCTCGTTGTGATACGCTGTCTAAATAAATTATACCCTGCATTTCTTTTAATTCATTTTAATACGTAGAAGAAGAAAAAATCGTTCTCCTATTTTGAAAATAGTCTTAAGACATTCTTTATTATATCAACTTGTCCTTTTTTTTCTTTTTAGATTTTGAATGGGATTGGTTGATTGGTGTAATAATTGCAACAGCAATTATTTTGGTTATAGTAGCACTGCTTTTCTTTTTCCGTAAGAAAGGATGGTTGAAAAAAGCTCATAGAACTGTTCCTGTTAGAAGACTCGCAAAGGACGAAGAAATGGTCAATGGAACCAAAACAGCTGCAAATAATCCATTAACAGAAAAATAAGACAATTCCAGCATCAAAGATTCAATGCAGATTAAACTACAAACAAGATATTGTTAATCTATATAACCTGTTGTGTTATTGTTTGATTGTCCGATATATGGTACACCATTTTTGTTTACAACATAACTCATGTAAACCAACACCAGTTGTTAACAAGACATGTATTACCAAAATAGGCTTAGTAGTCATAATTTAGCTAAAAAATTTGGACATTTCTAGAAGAAATAAACTCTAGTTTTTGTGAGGAGGACATTAAGGATGAGATACATTCCATTCTTAAATGTTACACTTATTAAGGTCTTAGAACTTTTTTTATTAACCATAATTATTGGAGGCAACTTTCTATCTATTCATATATACACTTAATGAGTTCAAATAATCTTAGGGAGTTATAATGTAATTTGGGTAAATTCATATTTCGTGCACAAAAATTAAGATCTGACATGCTGTGATATGTTTCACAATACTTGCTTCTATTCTATGCGTGGTCTTCAACAAGTGTCTTAAGACTATGTCAAGCTCAAAACTGAGTTCAGGTAAATTATGGATAAAATAAATCTAACAAGACTTGCAAAGATCTGCCACCAACACACATTTCCAGAAACGGCTATAAATACACAGAAAACCAGTGACGAAGTTCCTTGTTCGAGACAACGTCAAGTACATGACCATGAGGCGGGATTTAAACTATGTTTTTCTTTTTGATCTCTTCATTCTTCTTTCACATTTATGAGAATGCAACCCTACAGCATGAATAGTGAATACTTAGAAGAAAAAAAACCTCTAGAGTTCAACATAAGGTAGTCTATATCATATACGAAGTTCTAGATTAATCCAGTCTAGACAAGCTGTAAATATATTCTAGAGGTCCATAACTTCTTTAGCATACATTTTGTTTGTCCTTGTATTTTTACATATTTTATTTATTAAATCACAACCTTTCTTTTAATATGTAATGAAAATTGTACCATAATTTCCTTTTAGGATTATACATGTGCATGTATTTATATTATTTGTATCCTGCAATTGTGATATAAATGTTATTTTATTGTTCAAGTCAATGTACATGCATTTTATTTACACGATAGATGTAAGATGAGGATTTTTTAGGCCCGTTTTCAGTAATTTCATTTATCAATTTCTTAAATAACAGAAAAGGGGGGGGGGGGGGTGACAATTGAAAGAATTGGCTATGAGCACGTGAATCAGTGATATCATATCATATACCATGATAGGAAGTTAAAAAGATTTTTTTTTAACACAAAGAAAAAATAACTGGTTCAAGTTCTTGTTCATACATCAGTAGTGAATCATAGGTATTTTTGTATGGCAAATTATGGACAAGCTTCACTGGTTATATGATGATGATTTGCTGATACTCTGAATGGGGTTAGTATGAATATTTGGAGGTAACCTTACAACACACAACAGCTAAAACTGTATTTCTTGTATCGTTCACCGACGATGGCAAAGTATTTGCATCAGTCTTTATTTTAGTTATTTATTAAGATGAAAACATTGCTTTTCACAAATAAATAATCAACAAAATAGTACACAGTAAAACTAAGAATAGAATACCTAACTTGTGATAGGCACATCAATATGCAAGAATGTATCTAAATCATTTTTCGAGAATGTCAAATCGTCAACATCATACCAATATGCAAAAATGTAAGGATTTTTGAGAATAAAAAATCCTGAATTTCATACCAAAACACGAGTATGTAAGAAAGTCCTGAATTTCATACAAATATGCAATCATGAAAGATATTTTTGATAATACAAATCGTCAACATCATACCAATTTCAATATCATCTTCAATATTTTGAATTGCATGTTCAAAGCTTTATCTTAAACTTTATACTCAATTATAGTTTGTGCGTATTTTGTGATGCATTTTCGTGTGTTCATATTAATTATTCTAGACATTTTATTTAATCATTTCATAAAGAATTTGAATACAGAATTTGTACAAAGTGGAAGAAATGATACAAATATGCCATAAATCAATTTTTTGCTGAAAAGGTCAAGGATAGAATTCACTGTTTGAAGTTTGTAATATTTCCATGATGGTTTTACGCTTACAAAATCTTCATTGTTTTAGCCGTAAGCCATGTGTAGTTCAAAGAGTTCTATTTCCTAAAAACACATTTATAATTTTGTTTTAATTGTTTCTAAAAAAAACCAAATAAAAGAAACCTCTTGCATATAGTAAGTTTATGTGAAGCTTCCACAATTGTCTAGAAAAATTACAAATAGAAACGGGGAATTTAAAAGACTCATTTAACAATTAGATTTAAATGAAAAACACCCGTTAGCAAAGTCCTTGACTTAAAACAAGTACAAGAACATGCGGGTCATTTACTTATGTACATGCAAACATTTGAAGATTCGGATCAATATGCACAATTCGGTATATGAAATTCTCATCCCAACTATTCAATCACAGATGCACATGTACGTTTTGACATTGGATGTCCGGTTGTAAGGTCCGATGATTCACTCGACCCGAATTGAACGTCTTCTTACAATTAGAAAAAAAGATTGGTTGATTTATAGAAAATTTTAAAAAAAAACTTGCTCCCCAAACCCAAAATATGTGAATAAAAGTTTTTTTCTAATCCTACATCGATCTCGGAATTTATTAACCAACAAATAAATTCAAGGGAAAACTCTTGGATATGGCAATGAACCGCAAAGCTGAGTCTAGCACACTTTAGTTTGAGTGGAACGTACTGTAAACCATGAGACGTAGTTTAAGGTAAACCAAAATCATATTTTTCTATCACTTTACTGGCGTATCTTTATTCGCGTATTAAAGCGAAAAGTGAAGGCTTTATAAAAAAGACTACAGACAAGCATGGTGGCTTTAATTTCTTTCTTTTGTCTCATATAATGATAAAAGTCGTCTATTCATATCTTTCGCCAAATCGTGATCATTTCTTTCATGTAGTTTTATCAATTACACATAGATTGAAAGTAAACATATGTGCAGTTTGGATGTGATATTAGTCCAATGTTCATAAAAATCTTTAAAATTATTATTCTTTATACCACAATTATTGGCATATGTGCAGACACCTCATTGCAACAACATCGTTATGATGAGAGACTTACCCAGGTCGAGACAATTCTTGTGAAGCCAACCAACGAGATCGGGGACCTAAAAAGGTTATGAATCAGAAAAACGAAATCATAAAATTAAAGATGACACTCTCCAAGGTAAAACGTCTACAAGGAATTCATGATAAATCCATGTCGTTTCTAAGACAACTCATTATGAAGTCAAAAACCAACTTAGAGTCGGCATTATCAGGGGATACTTTGTTTACAAAGGAGAATCACGACAAGAACCTAGACCCTTCGTCAGAAATAAAAAAAAGGGTGAAGTTTCACTTGACCGAAGTAAGTGATAGATCTGCTTATTCGTATTTATATAACATAAGTGTCTAAAATAAAGTCTTACTTTATTAAGTTTCAATTTTACAACAACAGTACGTTGCATTGAATTACATATATCTATATAGTTTTTATGGATTATAGGAGTTACATTGTTAATGTTTAAGTCTGAATATCGATGTCCTGTGTAAAGACTGCGGGGAAATTGTGTGATAGATAACGAAACCATTCTACGATACGAGGCTCGCTGTTTTCATTTTGATACTATATGTTCTAAAATATGAAATACATTAAATTACGAATGGCTACAAAACACTACATACAAAACTAAAGACCGAGCAACTACACAGACTGGAGATGATTTCAGGTGCTCCGAAAGGGTAAACAGATCCTGCCCCACACGTGACACTCGTCGTAAAACCCTTTTTAAATTACGCTGATAAGTTATATATAGTGATTAGACATCACAAAAAGCGGATTGATTCTAATCTAACCCTTAGACATCACCAAAGTAGTCAACCATCGATCATGCAAAGTTTCTAACCTTAAAACTTGACCGAATGTAAAATCTTGAAATAGAATCACATATTTCTTTCTGGACAAAAGATAGACTATGAAGGAATATGTTAGAATGTAGATTAAGTTTAAAACTATTATGCTACAATAATTTAATTTTGGATGTAACGCGTCTTCTGATTGGCTGACGTTGTTTTGTTTATCAGCTCATAGACATAATTTTGTCATGTGACCGTGACGTCATCAACGTTTTTTCATGGTTTACTCCGGTTTAAAATGGAATTTAGAATTAAATTATAAGAAATGACTATAATATTTTTTCTGTCTATTCGAAATAACATAAAAAATGTGGTGCACACTTTAAAATAACCCGCTACGCGGGTTATTCAGTGTGCACCACATTTTTGATGTTATTTCTTCATAGACAGAAAAAATATTACAGTCATTCCTTAAATAAATTTGAGCCGACGACTTTATTTTTTGTTTGTACGTCAGAATAGCTACCATGTCTGTGTGTTATCCTCCGTCCATAAATCCTTGACATGCTTCATGACACTGTCGTGTTTGGCATGGTACCTCATATTATTGTCTGATGGAAAAATGAGAGGCGGTTTATAACTCTCTAAGAAGTAAATATTGTAAGATAACACCGACCGTCCGAGACCCTCATGGGTAGTCAATGTCGTTAAACACCTCCTAGTAGTAAATTTTGTTGATTTGAGCAAGAACATGTTATGAAGGAAAACAAGCAAAAATAATACAAATGTTTTATTGAAAATATCTGCTAATTTAAAACAAAAGTAGTTTACCGATGTTCAAATCTCACAAACCTATCACGAACATACAAACCCAGATAATAACAACTGAGGGAATTGCATGTACTCCAAAACAATTGAGACCTGGGGAGTCGACAGGATTGGCATCTATTACTATATATGCCTCATCCACCATGCGAATCCACATTCAGTCAAAATGTCACAACCGGTAAATTACAGATCAACAGAATATTCTGGAAGCTAAAATCTAAGAATTCGAACACATGTTGTAAATGAGTTGCATTCGTCAACAAGTTCGTGATGATGACCTTAATACTTATGCAGCGTCGATTTCGTTATATCTCTGCTGAGTTAGTTTTTA